ACTTTGCAACTGGCTCACACTTATCGCTGATGTTAAGCCCACATTTATATTAGGTACTATTGTTACGGTGGACCTATTTTGCAATTTTTGGTTATAAATAGGGGCTCAAGGGCGGAAGCCTTCTTCGCTTAATAAAGTGACTTACAGTGACTTAGGGAAACCGAGCTTCACTTGGACAATTTCAACAGCGCTGTTGCGAATGCTAGTCAAGCGCTTCATTCCCTTTTATTCCCAACATCTGTAGTTGAAAGAGAGCAGCAAAACCCCTAAAAAGCAAAGTCATGCAGTCCAGACAATATGCCGGCCAAGTTAATGAAAAAATTGGCAAGCGAGCTGTCAAAGCCCTAGCACATATCCTTCGTTCATCATCTGAATAAGGAAGACTGCAACCTGGCTGGAAAACAGCAAATATTTACTTGATATAGAAGGGCGGGACACGAACGAAGGTCAACAATTATCGGTCCGTCATCCTTATTTGTATTTGCTGCAATATGATGGAAATGATAATTAAGAAGGCGACAATGCAGTTCCTGAAGGCGAACAAATTACTGTCAGGACTCCAATACTGCTTCAGAAAGAACCACTCTTGTCTTTATAGCCTATTGCTCTCGACCGAGCAGTGGCCTTGCCCACTGGATGAAGATAATAAGGTGTACGTCATCTTCACGGGTTTCAAGAAGGCGTTCGGCGGCGTCCCACATAAACAACACATTTATAAATTATCGGACATTAGAATACGAGGAATCCTGATGGCATGGATCACAGGTTTTCTCAGAGGGCGAACGCGCACTGCGTGCATCGGTGACCCATATTTTACTCCCACATCTGTTCTTAGTGGTGTTCCCTAATGCTTGGTGTTAGTGCAACTGTTCTTCCTAATCTATATCAACGACTGCGTCCACGACCTAGGTTGCAGCGCCGTCATATTTGCTGACGATTTAAATCTCTGGAGAGCCATCAGATCTGACGCCGATAGGAAAGCATTTGAAGGAAGTCTCAATCGCCCTTGCAGCTGGTCTACTCGTTGGGTATTGACGTTAGTAAGTGTGTGGTTTTAAGGCCGAGTGAAGGACCAATGAGGTGGATGATTCCTTTCAATACCTTCTCCACGAGCAATCGCTTTCAAATGTTGACGAACACAAGGACCTCGGTGTTCTAATAAACACCTGGCTTAAACTATCTTCACAGTGTCTAAAGGTAGCTAAAGGGGCGACACAGCTGCTGTTTACGAGTAGGCGGAAACTCGATTGCATCGACAAGGAACTCTTCAGAAAAACGTACGGAGCGTTTATTCGGTCCCACTTGGAGTATGTCGTCCAGGCCTGGCGTTCATAGTTTAAGAAGAATTATCTGCGCCTGATAGAAACGCAGGCAAGGTCCACGAAGATGGTCAATAATCTTGGTCATCTGCCTTACGAATACAAATTGCCTGAACTTGAGTTATGTGCTCTCAAATACAGGCAACTCCGTGGTGACCTCATCCAAACCCAGCGATTTGTTAGAATCCGTGAGTTTCCTCTAGAATTTGATGAATTCATCGAATTGGCTTGGACAGGTCATCTGCGGGGTCATCTCTTTAAACTGCACAGGAAGCCGGCGCATGTGAAAGTTCGACGGAGGGCCTTCTCTCAGAGGGTCACCGGAGCGAGTAACGGACACCCTGACGAGGTGGTCCTCTCATATACTGTTGACACTTTGAAACGCAAACTTGATTCTCATTTGCTGAGATACTGTGACACATATAATGAAAAGTCGTGTCATTAGCAGCAGTTTGTAACTGTTTTACACCTATCGTCTAAATTAATGTTATGTACTTCTGTTAAGGTTGAATCCTTGCGATTTTTTGCCATGAATAGGGAGTTCAGGGGTGACAAGCTTCTTCCCTCAATAAAGTGACGTCGGTTGACTATCTCGTAACGCCACGCTTTTGTATCTAATAAAAAAAGACGAAAAAGTCTCATCAGTAATTCACTATCCACGCCTTAATCCTCCTCTTCCGTGCTAGCCTATGTCACTCAAGTAAACCAATGGAGGTGTACGTGCTTACTTATTACTTTAACTCACACAC